TTAAAGTGTTTTTCACGAATACACAAAATGTGTATCATTTCATTGATACAAAGGAGAGAGAGCTCCAAAGAGCCAGCAAATAGTCATGAAATAAGATGTGTGGCTAGATCGACAGGGAGTAGTTATAGAACAAAAATAGGAACTAAGGCAGTTCAAAGGTAAATGTCGTGAGGCCCTTAGCGCCAGCTAAATACAATGTCTTTTCATCACCAAGAATAGCCTGCGGAGGACGATATGTGCGCATTGTTGAAAGTGCAAGCATTCTAGTACTTCCAGAGAGATCAAGCGATGATGATCCCGAGCGAGGCCACTGTCTTGCGAAGCGAATCTAGAGGTCGATATAGAAGATTGCAATAGTCGAAAGAAGGAGTTAATGCCTCATGATAAATTGTTGGCGAGCCTTAGAGCTGAGTAGACACCATGACATATGATCCAAGAGAAGGAGTAGCTGATCAGGAGTTGTTGCGTAATTTCGACGGCCTGGTCACAGAATGCACAAGCAGAAATGTGAGGGAGGCCAATCCGAGCGAGATGTATGTTAGTCCAGCATCGATCTTGGAGCGTGAGCCACAAGAAAAACTTGATGCTAAGCGGCGCCCAAGTCCGCCGGGTAAGTGTGGAATGTGGCGAGGTGGTGGATCCGTGGAACGACGCGGTGTAGCAGGAGTGTGCCGAGTAGCGGTCGTCTTGTGTCCAACACCATCGAATCCTATCCAGGGCATCAGTAAGAGGGGTATGATGGACACTCAGCCACAAATCAATGTATTGGACCATGGCAAGAGCACTAAGGGCGTCGGTGATGTCTTGTACCCAAGTGCGACCATGCAGCCAATCGACAACCGAACGCAGCCGGTGCCGCCGTCGCGGAACCATCGCAAACACATTTGGCGCGGATTTCGCAACAGATTAGCCTTGAAGCTACTGATCTGGCCATAATTTATAAGAGCGACCATCCCAAAGTTCCCAATTTGTGGAAGTGCAGAAGATGGCACGGATCTCAGGGTCATAGGGAAGGGATAAATGGCTCCAAGGATGGCAGTGGTATGTGGCCTACAGCTAAGTCCGACGCGTGTGGAGAGAGATTCCGGTTTGATGCAGGTCTTGGACGCCAAGGCCACCCAACTACAGCAGCATACACACCAGACGCCAATTAGCATTGTAGTGGCCAGCGACCGCATCCATCCGCCCACGCCATACAAAGTTGTGAATTACTTGCTAACTTTCTTTAGGATGGCATCATTGAGGATGATTGTCGCGAATAGGTGTCCAAGCATGGCATACAAAAAATGCCGCGAGAGTGGAAGTCTCTCCCCTCGGGCAATCAGGGATGCTCTCTAGGTAGATAGATTCTTGCGCATGCGGTCAACTAGCAATATGAGGTGGAAAGAGTGGATTCTTCTCACTAATAGCAGCAACCCCAAGGTAAGTTATCGGGAACGCCTGAACCAAGCACACCAGCTTGTTCGCAATGACCGCATCATCCATAGGCACGCACTGGATGAGGGTCATAGAGCACTTCGTGAAATTGGTGTGTAGCCCTAACGCACCTCCAAAGACGTGAAGCAGCTTGCGCATAGCATAAGGTCTCTTGAGTCGAGGTGGCAAGATACGAGGGTGTCGTTGGTGTACAATGGGACATTATAGGTCATATGATGAGGAGTTAGCTTCTTAAGGATTCTAGTCTGAATCGCCCGCTGGATGAGGGAATTGAGCACATCAATCACGATAGTCAATAGCATCAGGGATAGAAGGCTGCATGCCGCATTCCCTTAGCATTCCTGACAGTAAGGCCTGGAGTTCCATTGATGAGGATGTGAGTAGATGTTGATTGAAGGATAGAGATCCACACTCTCCGGCATGGACCAAAACCCAGGTGGTGCAAAGTCTGAAGGAGAAACGACTAGGAGACAGAGTCGAATGCATGAGCCGTACCCAACTTGAGAAGAACCCTCGGAAGTTTTTGATTGGGCAGGTGGCGGGCAGACTGCTGAACCAGGAGAAAATTTTCATGGATACAGTGCCCCATGATAAATGCGCTTGGGTTAGCAAACACAAGCTCGCCCAAACGCAGAGTAATCCGAAAAGAGAGAGAGAAAGAGAACCTTGGCAAAAAGCTTTGCCAACAGAAGAGAGAGGAGGCATCAGGTTTCTTTGGCGATAGGGTAAGGAGGGGCTCATTCGTTTTGATAGACCCACAACCATTGAGCGTACAAATCTTGTCGAAAGCCTCACAGTATCTCCCTTGATCACCTCCCAAGAAGAGCGCATAAATTATGTCGTGAATCCATCAGGTCCTGGCGCTTTGCCAACGGGGAGTTGGTTCATAGCATTCCAAATTTCCTCCTCGGTGAAGGGTTGCTCAAGGCTCGAGAGATCAAAAGAATGTGGGTTGATCGCCTCAAGATCAAGGGTGAATTCGCGGTCGTCTAAGGAGCCAATAATCCGGGAGAAGTGGGTGAAGGCCGCCTCCTCCATTGCAATCTCATCTGAGATCAGCTGGTCACTCATCTGGAGGATAAAGATCCTACCCTCCTGTTGGTGGTGCGAGGCATGAATGCGAAGGAAGGACGAGTTAGTCTCGCCTCTGCGCAGCCAGGAAAAATGAGCACACTGTCGCATGATAGATCTTTCAAGAGAGGGCAAACCCAGGTAGGTGCACTTCAGTCTGCGATGAAGCCAAGACACCAAGGCAGAGAGCAGTCGGCTAGCTTGAGCCTCATCTAGACGCGTGAGAAGCTCATGCACAAGAAGCAATTGCACGGAGATGTTTCCCGGCATTTTAGTTCAACTACGAAGTTGTTAGGCCGTCTCCTTGAGACGCGCAAAGTTGCGTCTGAAAGGTTCAGGGTCCAGGTGGACGGAGTTCCACGCCTCAGAAACCACGTTGAGGTAGACATCTAATTTAGGACAGAACCGCTCAAAGTGGAAGCGCTTGGCGGCGGTGCATTCAATGAAGAGAGGACAATGGTCCGAGGCCGCGGAAGATAGGTAGCGAAGTAAGCACTACAGTTGCATCAAATCCTAGCTAGGTCTGCACAACACCATATTGTTCCGCACAAGAGCAGGGTGGTCTTGCTCATGAGACCACGTGTAGCGGTGACCATGAAGGCAAACGTCGCAGGGCTCCATATCTGCAATGAAGCGATGGAAGCAGTTGAAGTGTTCATGCCAGAGTATTTGAGAGCATGCAATGCTCAAGACACGGCGAGACTTTTGGAGATGAACAAAGCATGTGGGTTTCCAAGTATGCTTGGCTCAATTGATTGCATGCACTGAAAGTGGTAGAACCGCCATGCAGCATGGCATGGCCGCTCTGGAGACATGGATTTGGCATGCACATTTTGGGATGTCTGGATCTTATAATGACATCAATGTGCTCCAACAGTCACCTCTCTTTGCAAAGTTAGCCAATGGGGAATCACCATCGATGGAGTTACAAGCAAATGGACGTACATACAACATGTGCCACTACCTTGCAGATCAGATATAACCGAAGTGGGCTACTTTTGTGAAGCCAATTTTGAACCCCCAAGGTTAAAAGAATTCTACTTCCATAATACTTAAACGACTACTAGGAAAGATTTGAAGAGGGCTTTTGTAATTTTGCAAGACCGGTTTGCTATTATGCGGGACCGGCTAGGCTTTGGGATCAAGAGATCCTTGGTTGGTACATCATCACAACTTATGTCGAAAAGATATGGATTACACCTTCTATGAACTCATGTCACAACCGGTGCGGTCCTGTAGAAGGGAAGACCTGTAAGCACGACGATCTTCAAAAATATCTCATTAAGTGCTGGACATGGCATGGGCAACAAGAGCAATAGCTTTATCTCTGTGTTCCATGTCACGTGTGATAAACTTTGTTGTCATGTGTGACAAACTTAGTTGTTATGTGTGATGACAAATTTGTGTTGAATATTATGTTATGCATTGATGAACTATGTAATAATTTGATGTAGGAGATTGATGAGTTTGATATTATGTTTGCACTATTTGTGTTTTATTTGTTTGGGTTCAATTGAGATGAATTTGATATTATTTGTTTCAATATGTATGTAATTGTAGTGTCCTATTTTACATCATCCGTTGGAGCAATGATGCCCTAATTTTTATCATATGTTGGGGGAGAACAATTTGTAATGCCTAAAACTCACGTTTTGGTCCCCTAAAACTGCTTTTGAGTGCCCTATTATACATCACCTGTTGGGGATGCTCTTAGGTAACCGCACCCTCATTTTGGGACTACCAACAAGGCCACCAAACGAATAGAAGCATATCAATGGTTGTGCGTTCAAACATTTTAGTCATGCATAACTTACTCGACAAAGAAAGCTCAGTTAATGTAAACAATGAACTAGCTGATGAGCACAAAATAGTTGGCATACAACATCCATGATAAAAGAAACACATGGAAGGAGGCGAGTAATTTTATTTTGTTCTTAACAATACAGCAGCTCAGTTGCATGCTATCATCTGGAAAAGCAAAAGTAAGTCCTTTGCACTCCGCCGGTGCCAGGCTCTGCTCACAAATGCATGATTCTTGTTCATTGGTCTTCTTTGCCATAGTTGTAGATAATCTCAATCTGCAAAGACAATATTACCATTTTAACAGTAGTGTAACAGTTTCATAGGCATTGCATGTTCAAGGGGAACTACATCAAACAATAAATATCATGAAATTTGCCTCTTCAGCAGCAGCATGCACGAGATGACTGGTTAACCAAGAAAATGGTCTAAAGTACTCTAAACACTTCAGCAAAAAAAAATGTTGAGGAGCTAAGCTTATTGAACACATTTCTGGCAACAAACAAAAGATTTAGTAAAAAAAGTAGTCGTTGTGCATTTTGACAAACAAACGCTGCATAAAGTATGATTTAATTAATCAACTGGTCAACTAATTTGAACTGAGATCTGCATAAGAATTTTTGTAAGATATCTCAAATTAGAAGCTCCAAACACAGCACTATAAACAGAAGTACCTCAACAACTCAGATATGTTAAATAAATTTCATATATGTTCTTACCCCTTCAGGTGGAGGAGGGTTCCTTGTGAATTTAGTGCCACCAGGAGCCCATGGAACTGCAGAGATAGATACATTGCATAACCTCATCGATCAGAAGAATCACAGCATACCAAAACCGCAAAATCAAATTTGTTAAACAGGTAACATAGGGTAAGAAAGCAATTGCATCAAAGGAAAGCATACCCAAGATGCACATGAGCAGTTTGTTACAGGTAGTATGATCTTAAGACGCTATAGTACCGACAATAACCTATCTGAAAATGTGACATTTTTCACTTTAATCTAAAGCCTAAGTACATTATCTATGGATTATGAAATAAAAGTATGCGCAACAATTTTTTATTTTATTTCTAAAAAGAAAATGCTATTTTGCACAACAGAATGTGTATCATAAAGCTGAAGCAGCCTCTATTCTCAAGGATAAACTGATGGTAAATAAAGTTTGGCCTGAATCAGAATAGCGTGACACTGAAATGAATATGTAACAAGTCTGTACATTTCTGGCCTGAGAATGTTATGTTTGCAGTGAAGGTTAGCACTGACTAAAACATGAAGATCATGTCACTACTCACTACAGCAGTTGGTTGTGACTAAATAACACACAGCTGATGCCTCAAGCAAATATTGGTATCTTAAGCTAACCTGGATTATTTCTTAGAGAGGAGGATACTCCTCTATTACTGAAAGCTAATAAGTAGTTCTACAAACCAGCAAAATGAAATAACAAGATAATGTGATGAATAAAGTGATGACAAGACATGTCTCCAAGTAGCTCTACGCCTCTAACTACACACAATCAATCATTAAAATATGCAGGCTTGAGCTCAGTGCTTCAGTAAACTATACAAATTCATCGGGCCTGAGGTGATCAAAAACATTCCCGAGTGAATGATCAGTGACTCAATGTTCAACAGCGTAACGAAACAACTGCAAGTATCACGCTACATGATTTACCACACAGTATCGCATCCACAAACAGAGGCACCAGCAGCACGAACGAAGGGCGCAATCATTTCATGGCTTACCAATGTAAGGATCCGGGTGCTGGAAGTTCCTCTGCTGCGCCTCCGCGTCCTCGATGAGCCTATCGATCACGTCCAGGTTCTCCTGCGACACCCACGGGAAATCCATCAGAACACCACGGGGATCGGCGTCAGATGCGAATCGTTAACAAATAGACGAAGGGGGGAGACGCGGATCGTCAGTCTTACCACATTTCTGTTGGCCTCGAACTTGTCCCTGAGCTCGGACGCCTGCACGGGAGAGGAACACGGGGTCAGATCCGCGAGGGGGCGGGGAGATCGGGGGAGGGTGGGGGGAGAGGGGCGCTCACGTCCTGGTAGAAGAGGTGGCGGTGGACGGCCCAGTTGAGGGTGTCCTTGAGCGCGCGGCGGTAGAGCAGCCGCACCCGCTCCTTCTGCCCCGCGCGCCGCGCCAGGTACCCCGCCGTCGTCGACATCGACCTCGCCGCCGCACCCGCTCCTGCTTCTTCTCCGGAGTTTCTCTCTCCACTCCTCTGCGTTGGTGGATTCGGATTGGGAGCGGAGGACGAAGGGACCCGATCGGGAAGCCCAAGTTGTCAGGTGGGTGGGCGACAAGGCCGGCACCCCGTTGTTGGGCTTTAATTGGGTCTTCCTGGACCGAGTTAAACAGGCTGGAGTTCGTACATTAGCTGCCCTAACTAGGCCTTTTTAGGAGTTCTCAAAGAAAACTAGGCCTTTTTAGGGCACCTGAGGCAAAAATGTCTCAAAAAAAACCTGAGGCAAAAAAAAAGTCCTCCAACCGTTGCCCTATCATAATTTTTTTGCAAAAATAAAATAAAAATAGGCAGTCCTAAAATGTAGCCCCAAGTGCTGCAAATATACAATACTTGGACGGGTGCTGCAAAATCGCCCCGCTCGCCCGACCACATCTGTTTTGTTCCCGTGCGCGGCCGAACCTCCACTCCACCGGCCGGCAACGGTGATTGTCTACCGCAAAACGCCACCATTGCTGCTCCGCCGCCTGACCCCGACCCCACTGTTCCACCCCGTCACCTCGGATGGCCTTCTGAGGACCTGCCGCCCCTTCAGTTTCGCACCCGACGTCCCTTTCGATTACGGCCAACCACCGGAGCGCCGCTGCCCGTATGGCTATCGCGGCTCGGCCATGTCCTTTCAAGGCAGACTCTGGAGCACCGCTACTTGCTACCTGACCACCCCATCAAGCGGATCATCGACGAGTTTGGGGCGGCACGTCGGCGCAACGTCGGTGATTTTCGGTAACACAATCGCCTTCCAAGAGTCGATATAGTTCCTCCTGCAACCGTTTTCACCTCGTCCTAGTTGTCATCTGGCCAACGACGACCTGGTAGCTGGTTTTCTCCTCCTCGCTCACAAGGTGTTTGATGGAATTCATACAAAGGTAAAAAAAAGTTTGTTTTGCCACTTTGCTTCCTACTATATGCATGTGCAACTAACCTGTTGTTGTTGCAGCACTTCTCAATGCTACATGGGAGCGCATGCCGAAGCCTGGTTCTTAGGGTGTGTTGATTAGAGCTCGGTGCTGCCCAACCAAAATATTAGTGATGACTAGCTGCTTGGGCATGTGTTTGGATCAGAACCAATTATTTGGTGTGTCAGGATTGGTTGAGCCTACCTGTTCTTTTCCACACCAATGATTTGACGAGATGATGACGGTTAATTCTCGTGCCAATTTTTTAGCATGCCAATGGTACTACGGAAGTGCGGAGCTAGTTAAGGCGGAATCCAAACACTCCCTTAGTTTTTTGTTTGTTTGGTAGCTTAGTGGATCGACCGTGTAGAGGGCATGCGGTGTAGTGCATTGTGCTTGGTGGACTATCGGTGGTGGGCTGGGTGGGCTCCTAAGAACAAGTAGAAAAAAGTGCATCTTGGGCAAGCCACAACCCAGTTTGACCCCAATCCCCAATGAAGCTTCACCCATATGCAATGGTTATGAATAAAGTTACAGGTGTTTCTAAAAAAATATAGACCAGCGAGGGACGAACCCCGCAGCATTATAATTATGAAGGAAGGTGTGCGACATCAAGTCTTAAATCCGCAAAATGAACTCCACCCACAGGATTCGAACTTTGGGTCTACCAAGGTACACAGCCGTGCTCTTGGGTCTGCACGTTACAAGTGTAATATCATACAAGAAGCTTGATATCTTTAGCAAAACAATGGACTCTATGGTTCTTTGAATAAGAAAAAAATGGGCTACGTGGGTTGCTGTGATGCTGTCAAAAGTTTTAAAAAATGCACTCGAGAACGACATGTTTTGCATCAACTCTTGACAAACGAATTAGCTTCTTTCAACTAAAAGAAAGGAAATACCTATGGTACATACACCCAGGTCATATGCTTTCAAAGAAAAGAAAAAGAAAAAGAAACAGAAATTAAAGCCAATAGCTGAGAAAAAACTAGTATCAAGGTCAAATATTCCAGCTCTAGTCAAGCAGACCTTGGTACATGAAAAGTCCCTTTGTATTTTGCTAGTATTATTATTTTGCCAGTTGCTGCTCGGGTTGTCCTCACATGTTATTTATAAATGGACGTTGAAACGTTCATGATACGATGATCAGTTGACGAGATTGGGGGCTCAAATCTCTTGCCTCGTAGTCAGCTGATCAATAATGTTGACAATTTTTTATCCACATAATAATAATAATAATAATAATAATAATAATAATAATAATAATAATAATAATAATAATAATAATAATGACGGCTTGGATAAGTCGTCTATAGGCTATAGACTCGAAAGAGTACTCTCCCGCAAAAATGTGACATTTTAGTTCGGATGTAGCCCAGCCTTTAAACTTAAATCTGCCATACATCGACATTGCTGTATGAATGAATATTTTAAAAACAAAAGTGAATTCAGTGCAAAATTATACCTTGTACGAATCGGATCCATCCAAGTGTATTATTCACTACGCATGGCATCAGTGTTGGCACCCTTCCATTTCTCAAGTGACCCTCGTTTTTCACCATTTTTCTTTTGGATGGATCGCCTGTACGAACAGCGATACCAGAAAGTCGTTGACGTTCAGGATACTGCGATCCATCCATGATCCATCCATGGTACCATTTCTGAAGCACGCTACTACCCTCACCTGTCTCTCTCCGCGTACTTTATACCAGTACAGTACACGTACACGCCGCACGGTTAGGAAATTGGCAGTGTGAGACTCTTGATCCTAGCAGTACAGTGCTAGAAACTGCATTTCTTCTCTGGCCTGCTCACAAGTCACAACAAGACGATCTCGACAAGGATCTGCTAGCAAGTAGAGTATACTACGGAGAATTGGTTCAGAAAGTAACAACTTGTCCTTGTGGCTGCTCTGAAGAATAAACAAGGACACAGGTACTCTCTCAAAATGTAAGATCATTTCTAACACAAAAATGATCTTACATTTTAAGACGGGGAGAGTACCTTTTCTGAAGCATGCACGGTTTGACCGCTTGGAACCTTCTGTGTCAGCGCAAACGATTTACTGCCCGCAGCAAATGGCCCAGCATTTTTACTGCACCCAGTGATGCAGCATTTTTACAGCGCACAAGTACACGCTACTACGTTTCTAGCAGTCGATAGCAGCAGCCGGTGGTACAGTCTGCAACGCAAGTCATTATAGCGGCACCGGTTCGCTCGGATGGCTGCTCTGAACAGATAAGAACACAGCACGGGGTGGATCTATAGCAGTTCAGTCTGCAATGGAACTTACGCATTTACACAGGTTCGCTCTAATGGCTGCACTGAACAGATAAGAACACAGCACAGCACAGGGACCTTTTTCTGAACCTTTGCGCAGCTTAGATGTTTAATGGCTTGGAACCTTCGCGTGTCAGTCCCCTCATGCATGCACCCGCTGCAGAGTGATAATAGTATAACCTCAAACAACAGTAAGAGTACTGTCTTACTGCACCCAATGATGCAGCGCCGCATTATTGTACTCCTACTAAACCAAATCGTGATGCGTTGCAGTGTTTATTTTATGCCACGGAGATGCTTCCGCACTGTACCTGTTCCGGTGCTCCCCTTCTGGCCCTGTTTGGATCATGGGGTTAGAACTAGTTTGGGTTAGTTGAAGGCTCAAATAACCCAAAAGTATCCAAACAGAAAAGGTTAGAGTGGGTTAGTTTTATCTAACCTAACTATCCCGGTGGAGAGGTGTTTATTTGGGTTAGAATGGGTTAGAAAATAACTCTAACTCTAACTGTATTAGAGTATCCAAACAAGGCGCGGCGTCTGCTTGTGACGCGCCATTTTCCGTCAGGCCGGACGGGCTCAGATTCCGGAGATCCAGCCCACATCACCGCCACCACCGCCGCCGGCCGCGGCTCGTAATTCTTCGGGATTAGCTGGGCCATGACCGCAGGAAGCGGCATTTTTTCAAACCACACGGCGTGGGCGAGGGCGACGAGGCGAAGCAGGTGACGAGGTGATACGGCCGCAGGGTCTCGTCCGGGCATCACGCGTAACCTAACCCGATCAAAAGTTAAGTTAACTGCCGCAGATGGGACTTGACCACACAGCTGATGAAAACTACTGCAGACCGGCCACTCTCAAAAAGAAAATTAGCTACTACTAGTGGTATCATTAAGCACGCGTACAGGAGCCACCGTATGTCAAAGCATTGCATCACGGATGACATGCGCATTACAGGAGGGAAAAGGTTATGCATCATTTTATAATTTTTAATTGTACACATAAGTGATGAAGCGTCGCCATCAGTCGTCAACGGATCCACTCATCCACACGTGCTGACTAAGTAGGCTGTTAGGCGTTGCCTTTTTTTGAGATGAGAAACAGGCGCTGCCTGATGCTCCAATTCAAGTACAGTACCAAACTACGCCTTGATATACTATATGTCGACGGCATCTGGATTACGATCATGATGGCAATGTTGTTTGATCGAGATGTGTTATAGCAACGATTATGGAAGTCGTGTGGTGGTGGTGTCTATGTGTGTGTGCCTCCACATCTGGGCCAGCGACGTTTCTCGGGTCAAAAGTGTGTGTATTACGCTGGGAGGGGAAATGCCAAATGATGTCGATGGAAGGATTATAAAATGGAGTGCAGTATGCCAGATTCAAGGCCTTGCATCACTATAGATTATAAGCTCCCATGATTGTGAGGCTCCTGATGAATCGGTGGTGTGAAAGGTGTGTGGGTCAACGCTTGACAGGGTGTGAACCGGGTTGGATGGCAGCTGGGTCTATGTGTTTGTGTTGTGCGCATTGACTGCGTCTGTACTGTGGACACGTATCTTAGTTGGTTCGACGTCGGCTCGAGGAGTCTAGCTGGGGCAGATGAACACAAAAAATTACTGGGGCGGAGAAGAGGTGTCTAGCGACCTTATCGCATTCATCAGTGCTGCTTAGCCAGGGGAGGGCCTCCGGTGTTGGCTGGCGGCTTCCCACAAAATGAGGGATTCGTCTGGCGCACCAGTAGACA